CCTAACCATAACCCTAATCCTAACCCTTAACCAGAATCGAGCTCGAATCGCTTTCGACAAAGCTTGAAATGTTTGAATTTTATTCCGCCACTACCAAGGAAACTCCTGCCGTTTTGGCTTCTGTAGGTACCTGTCTTAGGTAGGACTAAGGCCTTTTATATAGCTGTCGAGCTTTTTGTACTGTTAATTATTGGTAGCACACATGTTTTAATAAAGCCGATGATCGTACACCTTTCTGTTTTGGTAATATATCAGTTGTTCGTTTTTCCTCCGTCAATAACTCTGTCTTTGAGGAGGTCGGCCATCGCAAGGCAAGCTTCCTTCTTTATGACGTGTTACTCTAAACACTGCCCAGAGAAGGTATATTCATTATTGTTGGTAACGGTGAACTCAAAAATAATGTGTTTCTCCCGGTGTCTTGGTTACTTGCACTTAGGACGCTTAACGGAAACCAACTTGGCCTTTCAGCCATGGTATAGTTATAGACAGGCGTCAATAGAGAGAGAGAGTTCTTTAGAGCAGCTTTTATGTGCAGCTTATTGCCCTCCGTTTCTTGTGTAGAAAAATACTACTGGCCGCACAAATTGCAGCAGAAAATGAGGCCGAGTTTCGCTACCGTCCGTCAATTCCTTCTCAGCCTGCCATCGAGGACCATGCAGGCAATAGCAATCCCTACCTGGAGGGCATCACTCTCAGTAAGGGCTTGGAGATGCAGTGGGCTGCGCTGCATCGTGCGCTGGAGGAGTACGACGAAATCCACAAGATGGCGGAATACAACATTGATGCGAGTCTTTGGAAGCGTTTGTATGCTGTTCGCTTAAAGAAGGTTGATAAGGAAATGGAGCTGAAAATAGCTACCCATAAGTTCGAAGAAATCAACGAATTTTTGAAGGTAACCTCGATCGTCTTCTTTTTGTATCTTTAAAAAAAATAAACTCTGATACATTCTAAAAGATGTGACTAACAATCAGCTGAGTAGAATGCGAAGTTGACATCACTTGTTTGTTACACGTATGGCGGGTTTCGTAGTATGGGTACCAGAACCACCACATTGCCGGACGAAATATAAGTTAGAAGGAGAAGTTGGAGAAAATGCGTTGTCATTAACGGGGACAAGGTGTGTAATGACTGTATGAAGTCATGCCCGAGACATTACCTGTGATGGCGGTTCATTTTAGAGGTTTTATGGGAGCTGATTCAAATTTGTTTTGTATATAATTAGTTTGCTGTACTACACGAGGCAAGGACGCTGACAATTTGCCGTATTAGCGTGGGGGATCAGCACACCTGGGAACGTTCGCAAGGCACGCCAATAACCTTGACGTGAATGCCCTTAAACGAGGTCGGTTACACCACTACGACCAAGGTAGTCGAAGTTCGTTTTATAATTAGTCTCATGTCTGCGCTTGCGTGAGCACCTGCCTGTCTCTCGCATGTACACCAAAAAGGGACAAAATTGATACACTACTGAGCAAAAGATAATCGGATTTGATAATTAATTATTTAAGTTCTCGATCCTCGCCTCGTGTAACACAACATGGCACTTGGACACAAAAGACCTGAACTCGCCCCTCAGAAACCTGGTGACCGATCGCATGTAAAGTTAACCAACCTCTTGCAATGCGTTGTACATTAGAAATTATGACTCAAGTGGTGTTGTAATATTTATTACCTTGGAAAATATCATCAAGATAGTTCAGACACATTGGGATGCAAGCTTTTCAACGTCTTTATGGCCTCTTGAAGCATCTTCACTCAATAAAATAAATGACTAAGTGAAGAGCGTGCATTTTTTCTGTCGATTTCGATACCCTTACAAATTCAAATATATTTGATAGAAAACATAAGCAAACATTTTTTTCCTGTACTAATTTGATAGCAAGTCATTTCTTCCAGAAGTGAGCATGATTTGCCGTTTCATTTTTGTTGTCGGTTTCGATTCGACTAGCTATTTGCCTGCCGTGGAAGGAGCATCATGCACTCCTGTATGTCATTAAGAAAATAACCTATGGACTCCTCGAATTCGGTAATCGATGTGAGTATTTTGTGTATTTCACGAAGTCTACTACTAAACGACCAGCTATGATGCGATTCGAATGGACATTGTATGGTCTTAAAACAGGTTCACAATTACAAGCTTTTCAAAACCCAAAGGTTGTCTTTCTTCGAGTGAAAATTTTATCGAAGACGTGACTCGCCATCAACTGAGTATAGAAGAAGTATATTTGCTTGCGTTTTCTATAAAATATATGTTTATATTTCTAAGAGCATATAAAATCTATTTTAAAAATGCGCACTCCTTGAGTAGTCATTTCTATGGGTTTGTGGTTTATTCGAAAGGTGTTCGTTAAAGAGCCAGTATCCTGGTGTATCTTAAATAGCTTGGAATTATGCTCCAGGATGGTAAACATTACAATTCCACCAACGTAGTCATTCCCAATCTAAAGCGTATTTTTAAAATTCTGATTAATTTGGTATGATATCAGTCATTGACTGTATAGAAGTAGCCGCCATCCTGGATACTGACTCATGCATGGTTTCACACATACAGTAGGTAGGTTACTTGATGAAATCCAAGGATTTTTACAAGAAAATTCCTGGTACGCAAAAACAGCTCAAGCTGCCTTCCCCAAGGTCTTAATGTATAAAAGTTCACCTCGTAATAAAAAAGGATATATTGTGGTTTATCAAGTTATATTATGTGGTAAAGTAAAAGTTGGTTTTTAGAAAAAAAATATCCGAAAATGTGAAAAATTGGGGCTTTCAAGAAAACTTTACTTTTAAATGCAAATGTAGTGTGTTAATTCAAAAGCCAAGTAAATACAGTAGCACAAGTAGAATTACGCTTAAAAATAATGCGTTCGTGACATTTTTTGATTAACATGCTCCCACATAGCGTGCAATATAAAGTGTCGGATATTGCGGAGTCAGCACATAGCACACAAAAATCTCCAGTTGTTTCTCTAATTCTATTCTCCTGCTGCGATACGCTGGACTAAATAAACCAGATTTTCACTTGATTGTGCCGTTTTGGACGTCACAGGATTAAGATGTTGCAAAAGCTCACATGCGGAGGTGCCGGTCAATGACTAATAAATTTAAATTAATTTGTAAGGTGCAATCGTAAACATACCATCTTGTGCACATTGAGAAAAAATTTCCTTCCGTCACGCTCTGCCCACACCCTGATTCTATCAACGGCAAATGCCGCCCGAGACGGCAGCTCAGAACCTTGTTTGCATAGATTCCTCGTTCTGTTGTTTCACAAACCCGGGTGGCTCTGTTCGATGATTGTGGTGGTTAAGGCAAGCCCGGTGTCCTACACTAGCTGCAGCTCACTCTAAATCCGCTGGTGCCCCCCTAATTTATCGTGGCAGACAAATTACTAATTCTTCTCCTACCTTTCCACTAGCGGCGCCAAGCGGAAGCAGAATCCGTGGCCCAGCAGTTAAAAGAAACTGAGGAGGAGTTGCACGGACTGAAAGCCCTTGTGTACAGCGTGACGACAAACATGGAAATCAACATAGTTATGTGCCAGGGTCAAATAGAGGTGGAAATCCCCAACGACAAACTGGCGCATGACTTTAATGGCTCCCTGCTCATCAACTGCAGTCAGGTGGAGAAACTCAATGACCAGGTGATCGCATTGGCTGGCGAAAAACTGCAACATATGAACACTATAAAGGAGTTCAAGAAACGCTTCAAGCACCTTGAATGGTTTGTTGATTTTGTTTTTACCTGATTTATTAACTATGCTTCTAACCGGTCTGAATGCACTAACGCAAGCTAAGGGAGTCGATCTTCCAGGGAAAGTGGCCGGCCCACCTTACACATTTTGTGATGGAATTCCAAAATGCAATCATTTTTCAGATGGAAAGTGCAACATTGTATGATATGAGATATACTTTCAAATACATAAAATCATGTCTCTAGCAGATATATGTTGATGCATTTATGGGTCCACGAAAGGTTCGTCTACTTGTAGTTTCGATAACATTACTTTGACAGTATATTGTACTTTCAACCAATTTTACAATGTTTGGCATACAGTTCTAGAAGAATTAAGAGCCAAAGACCAGGCAGATTTGGGTAGCCATTGCCAGCTAACTAGACATCTTAAACCAGCCCTACTCAACTGCAGGTTTGGAAGCAATTACGATTCGAACCGGAGTACTTTTGCTTATTCAAAACTTTAACTATTTTCGCATTAGACCATTTTTATAAATTCACCTCGCTGACATTTATTTGAGCTATTAGCTCATAGTCTATAGGCTATAGAATCTGACAGCATAAATTTTTGATGTACGTTATTTTTTGCATTTGTTGCTGTCGACCTTGGGACAGTTAGCTACAGCTTATCTCGATGATCGCATACGCACCGGTGGCTGCCTTATGCTTAGCGTTAACTTATACAAAGCCAAAACATCTATGATGAGATGTCACCAACATTACTCTAGTATTTTTATACTATTTATTCTGATTTGTGTACAAACTTCGATTAATTTTGAAGTCAATACATAGATATATATATATACACCTCGATTATTCTTGTACTTTGGAAACGATTTCGAACTTGAGTTTTTGCGATCTACTTTGCCTTCAAGGTAATCATAAAGCCCCAACAAACTAGTTGCGAGCTGTTGAATGCATGGTAGATCGCACTGACGCTTTAACTAAAGTAGTCATTGTGGTTTTCTGGAGATGGGGTCGCAGCAAACTACTTCTTGACATAGAATAAGAAGCTGACAGGTTAATTACCGATGTTTTTACACCAATTCGGCTTCATCTATTTTATGCAAACATATTTCATTCCAAAAATGAGCCTTACCCTTGGAATTTAGGGAAGATTACCCGGTAAATCATTAGGATTCACTTTGAATTTGGGTTATTCCACACGGAGCCTCGCCCATTTAAATGAATGTTTCGGATTCTGTGGGCAAAGTGCGCGTGGTATGATAGTCAGCAAACTTTATGTGAGTCCTTTCGGACGAGCATTGGACTTTTAATCAAATGGTCTGTGCTAACGAAAGCGGTATATTTTTATGATGATGGATTACATTGCGTGCTGAATGCACCATCACCTCGGCAAGCCACCCTTAGGCTCATTGACTTCCTTCAATTTTCTAATTATTCTTTATATTCTGTAGGGCTTTGCGTGAAATGCTGATGAAATACGAAGACCTGCAAACCAGGCAAAACGATATCAAAAACTTCCAGATTACGAGAGAAATTCAGCGGGTAAGCGCTCTGAGTTATTTTGAGTTGACTCAAGTGTGAAAAACTCTAGGCGTTTGGCGGGATT